ATATATATATATATATATATATATATATAATATACACGTGTGTGTGTGAGTGTGTGTGTGTAGTAGTGCTACCCCCTCCATCACACACACTTAGTGTCACAAAGTTGTTTGTTATGCATTTAATGCAATTTACACCATCTGACCTGAATGTCAATCAACGTTTGACAAAACTGTAAAATGGATGATTGACTGATGAACAAGTGTAGTTAGTTAATGCCCATTTAAAACCAAATAAGGTTGATTCACCAAATCCTGGGCTGTGACAGGCACTAATGTACTTCCAAGCTCATCTTTAAGCGTCACTTTGAGTCCACCTGAATGCAGGTTTAAACATGAGAAATGGTCTCGTCTAACGTTGGTCCTGGATGGCTGCAGGGGGTTGTTGTTGTTGTTGTTGTTGTTTTCTCTGCTTCAAGACAGACAGATGCCACAGTGGACAGGTTGCGGTTCTTCTTCTTGTTCACATATCAAATATCACATTATATCAGTAATTTTTATTTTTATTCTTTCGGCTGCTCCCTTCTTCAGGGGTCACCAGTGAACTCACTCACACAAAGACTTGGTAATTATTTTTACACGGATGTCCTTCCAGACAGACCACTGAGCTACCACAGCCCTCTGTGTGGAGCAGAGAGCTGCTGTCTAATGCATCTGGAGGAGCAGATGGTGGGGGTTGAGGGCCTTGCTCAAGGGCCCAGAGTGGGGCAAATGAGGGTGGAGGCAGGTGTGGGTGCTTCACCTTTTCCACCCACATTTTGATGTTGTCAGTAACCGGAGTTGAACCTGCGATCTTCTGATCACAGGCCCACCTTCTTTAACATCTGCAACCCCACTCCCTATATTATATTATTATATTATATTATTATATTATATTATTATATTATATTATTATATATCAGTCATGTCATGTCATATTTAAACTTGTTTAAATCGTGCTCACTTTTGAGAACTCATTTCTTTTTTCTTTTTTTGCTCTGAGCTTATTTTTATGTCTAATAAATCTCACTAAGATAACCTCTGTTATTTGATATTTTTGATCATCAATGAGAAAATGTGTGTGTGTGTGTGTGTGTGTGGGGGGGGGGGGGGGTGTCAATATTGTGTTTGTGTGCCTTACTTGGACAGAGAGCTGCTATGTTCCTTCCCACCACTTGATTGACATCTCCCTATCAGTGCACTTATCATGTGAATGTGAAGGACTTCCAGAAAATCCCATTGTCAAATGATTGATGTAATCCAGTCAGTGAACGAGGAGACGGAGAAGAAGAAGGAAAGTGAATAAAGGTGGAAACTGGAGCAACAAACATTTCTCATCACATCGATGATGATGTAAGGGAGAGCTGGCCTGCTGAAAATATTTTACATCTAAACGAATGGCGCATGAGGAGAAATTTATTAGTCATAATGAGGTCAAATTATTCAAATATAATCCAGCTCTTATGATCTGTGAAGTCTAAGAGTAACAAATTTAATTAGGAGGATTGCACAGAAACACTGTACATGTTAGTAACATACATCAGTGAACATGTTAAAAGGCTGACTGTTGTTTAGCATTTTAGTTTGTTAAACATTTTCCAAGTTATTTCTTCTGTTCGCCGTGTTCACATCCTGACCCGGAGCCTTTCTGGGTGGAGTTTGCATGTTCTCTCCGTGCATGCGTGGGATTTTCCAGGTTCTCCAGTTTCCTCCCACAGACCAACAACATGCATGTTGGCCTGATTGGTAACTCTAAATTGTCCATATGTGTGAGTGAGAGAGTGAATGGTTGTTTGTCTCTGTGATGGACTGGAGACCTGTCCAGGGTGTCCCCTGCCTCCCACACAGTGACGGCTGGACATGGACACCAGCGATGCCCGCAACCTCAAAAGGACAAAGTGGGTAAAGATGATGGATTTGTTTTGTTTATAACAACACAGACCATCAGTTGTGTAAAAGCAACACAAATAAAACCTGATATTAGTTGTTGAACAGGAATGACTTCAGATCACATTGTTGATTAGAAAGAACAGAATAAACGGAGTTTTTAAAGTTTATTGAAATCTCTCTCCTAAATCTTAATTTTAAGAAGCTCGATGTGGACAGTTCTTTCTGATCCTCACTGTGTTCTCATGTTGTCACGCCCTAAAGCTGGTGGAGGATTCAGTGGGAACCATCAGGAGACTTCATCTTAACACTCTGGGAATTTTTGTTTTCTAAACAAGGAATTAACCTGTAAAATCACTAAAACTCTGTAACTGAATCTGAGACACAATTAATGTTGTAAATTAAAATAAAACAGCTGAAAAACACATCTATAAGGTCACTAATGAGCCCTCCTGAGTGACCTAGAGAGAATTTTACCGATCCAGAACTTTTACTTTGTTTTCCATAAAAGGCCTTTTGCTGCTCGGGTCCTGGGTTGTTGACTTCTGCTTAAAGAAAATGAATGAAGGGGTTGATGGGAGGAATTATCCTGTGGGAGGAAACTAAGAATGATAGTTGGCTGAAGCAATCAGAAAGGAAGCTGAAACTTTTAGACATTAATGAAGAAAACCCTTTTCGGGGTTCTGATCTCTGTCACTAAATTACAGATTGCTGCTGTGTGAATTTCCATACAGGAACCTCACTGTTGACACCAGTCCATCAACCTGACTGAAAGCAGAGCGTAAGTATGGTCCACCACGGTGTTGATATTTTTTCTGGTTAGAAAAAAAAGGTTTATCTGACTTTAGCAGCTTCAGATTCCTTTGTACTGATGGGCTGATATAATAAATATAAGATACTGTAACAAATATAATTAATATAAAATACTGTAATGAATATAATGAATATAAGATACTGTAATGAATAGAATTAATATAAAATACTGTAATGAATAGAAATAATATAAGATACTGTAATTAATATGATTATTATAAGATACTGTAATTAATATAATTAATATAAGATACTGTAATTAATAGAATTAATATAAGATACTGTAATTAATATAATTAATAAAATATACTGTAATTAATATAATTAATATAAAATACTGTAATGAATATAATTAATATAAAATACTGTAATTAATATAATTAATATAAAATACTGTAATGATTAGAATTAATATAAAATACTGTAATGAATAGAATTAATATAAAATAC